TTCTGCAACTTAATTCTTTGATAAACCTAGTCCAATGATCATATCTTAAATAGAGAAGACATTTTTTAGTCTAACTCTGCCCTACCTTTAACCAAATAATATTTATTAATTTGAAAAATATTTTATATTTTTTTCCATGAATACTCACAACTCGTCATAAAAGCTTAGCCATTTTTTGCCATGCAAGAAATAATTGGGTTTATTATTTAATCTAAAAGTAGATCAATTTTTTTCATCATTTCCGTTAATAAGGAAGCACCAAAATCTTATTGCTTGAAGAACTCATATTTTAATCTATTAATCTTTCATCAACTTCTCTAATCTTGACTATAATCTAAGATAATTATGTAAATAGTTCATGATGAACACGACATCCATGATTTCTTTTTCTGTGTGAAATAAATGAAAACGATTGTAAGATCAAAGGATACTAATGACGTTAAATTGTTTTACTTGACCTTTGTAATGTAAGAAGAATAAACTCCAATATAAATTCATTATAAATATTTGATAATGATTATTTGTCGAACGATAAATTTAATCTTACAATGTTTTATCTTCTGTTCACTCGGAAAAAACATTTATGAATCACTTGCTATGTTATTACTAAAAATTCGTTGAATCTTTTTATTCGATTTAAATTCAAGAACAACAACAGTAAGAAAAGAAGACTAATCAAATGTTAATATCTTTTCTTCAAGCTTTAAGTCGTTTCTTTTTTTTTTTTTACTTATATATCGGCTACTGTTGCTTCAACATCCACACCGAGTGCAATACGTCAAAGAAAAAAATAAATAATTAAAAAACATAAATACATTGTGATTTATTCTAACCTAATTGATATGATTTGTTTAACAAATTCCAATTTTGAATATAGATTAACAACACATTTATGAATACGTATTTGACTATGATCTAAAATTTTTAAACCATCATCAAATGGTGCTTTACGTGTTGTTATATATAAAACTTTCGTTGGCATATGAACTAGTTCTTTAAGATGTACAACAACACTGAACAAAATTTTTTTGGATGACCTAGTAAATTGAGTTATTTTTCTCATCATAATTCCAAAGAACCAAAACCATATAAATAAAAGGAGAGAAATATGATCTATATTTTAATAATTGAAACTTTTTAATAGCAAGACCTCTTTGAAGTGAAATGCTTATCATATGACATACAAAAGACGATTTTTATATGAACTCTTTATACTTTTTTATGTAATGAGTTTTTCTTTCTTTCTAAACATTGTATTCAAAAGAGTGTCTGACACTATAGAAGATAGCAGATATCTTAAAGTTTGCTAACAAATTTTTTTTTGATTGCTTGAGGTCATTCTCTGAAAAAATTTTCTAGGACAAAAATTCATTGGAATATGACGCTTAGAAAGAATAAATAGCTCATTATATAAAAACGATAATGAGCTCACATGAACGCTGTCAGTTATCTATCATGAAATAAGCAATTTCGCATCAATGACATTAAGCTTTTAAAGTTTTATTTATCAAAGTGTAGATCCTGTTTTGTTCTTTCTATTTATATCGCATTAGTTATATTTGGAACAATTGTGAAAAAAAGGTGCATTGAAAAAGTCGTCAGAAAAATGTTGTTCAACAAAGATTAACTAGTTCAGATTGTTATACGTGTGATTCCCCTATGACTCGTCAGTTTTGTGAGTTACTAACACTTAAAATAAAATCATCATCAAAAAATTATCTTCCCTATTATATTTCTTCATCTGTTGCCTTTGGAATTAAATCTGCACAAACTTTTTCCAGTAATTTTACATTTTCGTGATGTCAGTGTTATGCGAATATTTAATACTTTTGTTGTTCATCAGCACTAACTTGAACTGAAAATTTACCACTTGTGAGAGTTTTAATAAACATATTTATAATTAATTCACTAGTGAAAGGTCTAAAATTAAAATAATAATTATGTTACTTAAGTTTCAAAACAAAGTGCTTAGATCAACAAGTAAAAAACTAAAAGTTTTTTTTTAAATTATCAATCAATTTTAAGAAGAATATTTGAATTTATTGAAAAAATAATGTGGTTTTTTTGAAAGATTTCTTTTTAAAATATCAAAAGCTTTCATTAAAAAATTAAGTCTTCAAAAAAGTATAAATATAAATTGTTAAATATTTATTTTAGATGATAATTGATTTCTATTCAATAAGTATAGTTATCTAGTCATTATAAGAAAACCGATCCCATGGATTATCTAACACAAAAACACAAAAAAATTTGGTCTTTGAAGGAACTTTTGGATTGCCTTTTATCGAATTTATTACCATTTTTTCTATTATACGGTTAGTTATTCGATAATTATAAAAATGAAAAACACCTTGTTCAAGTGTATATAAATCTTTATTTGGTTATCTTCTAATTTATTTTAAATGGTATCATGAAATTAATATAAAATATAGTTTGGTCGGCCTGAGTGTAAATGCAATTAAAAATAAAATTACAACTAAAAAGAGATAAAAAGAAAAAGATTAGAATGAAAAAATTACATTTTTACAAAATAAAGATAGAGTCATTAGAGAAGATTTTATTTTCAGTACGTACCATTTAAATTGAATAGATACATTAGAGCATGATATCTGAATAAATCAAGGTAAAAACTGCAGTATATAGAACCTAGTAGTAACATAATATGTTCTAAGAATCTCATGAGAAAATGTTATTACGAACTTGAACATCATATAAGTAATCATCTCATCCTACAAAAGAGTTTCATGCATTTCGTCATTTGAAGCCAATAGGTTCATCTTTTTTTTTTGCATGAATAAACAGAAAAGATTTTGATCTGCTTTATCAGAAAAAGGTTTCATAGCAAAGCAGAAATATTTCACAAGATAAAATGCCATGTTGTGAACTTCTTCACCGTAATAAATATTTAATAGGCATCTCACCTTAGTCGCTGAACATGAATGAACATTTTAGCAGATTCTTGCTAATTTAGCTCAGATTTTTCATAAAACTTTTCTTTACTAGTAATAAAGGATCCCTACTTCAAGCCATTGATGATCTATGATCCAGTATTTACTTGTACAAAATTCAATGTTTCCACAAAAACGTTTTCTAAGTTTGCTCGATTGAGTGCATACTATTATTAGTTGCTACAGACGGAGAAAAAAATTGCTGTTTGCAGGAAAAAAAAATGTGATCTGTTACTCACGTCTATCAATCTGATGTTAGCAGAAAAATGTTCGACCGTACTCTAATCTACGATGCGCAAACTTAGAGTAGGCAATCGCTCTCTCAAACCTTGTGACTTCGCCGTCTATGAATATTTTTCAATACTCTAAATATTGTTCTAAAAACACATTTAAAACAACTGAAACACTTAATGTTTTTTATATATACTAAATATATCAAAATTTGATATTAAAGTTCTACTAAAACATAACCTCCGCAGAATCCTCAAGACTTTATAATATTTCTTTTTTAATATTCTTTTACTTTTACACATCAAAGGCTTAGTAATAACTCTTCAAAATCCTAGAAATTCATCATCTTTCACAAATTATCTAAAAGGAAAAAAAAGCGAGAACTTCCCATAGTAAACCTAATTTCTTTTTCCTACGGTCTATTTCGTACTTAATAGTCATCTAAAAATAAATTTACTTTTTTGTTGTTCGCCTCGTCATGATCTATAATAATTTCTCAACTGAATATTTTCTTATACTTTAAGGTTATACAAGTATATGTTTATTCAAGAATAAATGAAGACCGATATGACCTGTCCTTTTTGGTCGTTTTCTTTTCCAATTCAACTGACCAAATATAGATTTGAAAAAGGCATGACTTCATAAAAGAACACATACTAAGAGAAAATAGTCTAAAAATAACCGTGAAATTGAACTGATGTATAAAAGAATATTAAACTTACATTTTTAACAATATTCAAGAAAAAATAATATTCATCATCATTATGAAATATTGTTTAGTTAAATTATATAAATATTCAATGAAATCATCATTGTTCATAACTGATACCTATTCATACCCATACTCTTTTATACATTTTTAGTAAGAATTTTTTCTATGAAATTATTAGAAATAAACAATATAACCTATGAGTTTTTGTTATAAGTAAAAATTTGATTATACCAACAAGATCATCTATTCTTAGAATGACATTTATGCAAAACAATATCAATACAAAACGAATGATGAACTATAAATAAATAAATATTTAGTAGAAAATACAAATGATCATTTTTTTGCAATAAATAATATGTCTGACGTTTCAAACATTCATATATTAATTTATTTTATTGCTCATATTATATTTGAATACATAAATAACAATTAGTTTCTATTTTTACTGATGCATGAGCTTTATTATCATGAACTGAACTTTATAAATAATTATGTAAATACGTTGGTAGCAGTCGAAAAAGTTTTTGTCAAAATGTTTCGTCAAACATACTCCTAACTTTTTATCCTTGAGATAACATTATTGACTATCCAATATTGCACCAGTTGGATGCATGAAGTATCAGTATCTGTTTTCTGTCTATCATCACTCATCCACTTACACACACATACTCATCTACCTCTCAGTAATAAAACGTCTCAAAAAAAAAACAATAATGTTTTTGCTGGAACATTTTTATATGAGGGATTATTTCTCATAAATATTTTGACCGAAGGCATTTAATATGAGAAATTTTTTATTCAAGAATATGTTTTCTAAGAACAATATTTACGGGGGAGTGTTTACAGAACATTTAGACCGTATCCAATAAAATACCTTATTCATCATTATTTTTCGATTGATGCATTATCACCTATCTTAATCATCTTTCAGATGCGTGGGTCATGCATATATATTTTTTCTTGTTCTTGCCCTATTAGCTTTTTGCTTTTATGTGAAATGATTATGAATAATCGACATGACCGCGTATATATTGACAAGATGCGCAAAATAAAAATAATCATTTTCATATTTTCATAAACATATTATTGACTACCTTCGATAAGCAATGGTTTTTGGTTTGATTGTTGCTGGTGCAGCCGCTGCAGGTTTAGCAGCACGTGCTGGTGCTCGTAGACATTCAGGTAAAGATAGAAAAGATTCTGCTTGTGACAAAAAATCTGAAGAATATTATGAAGAAGAATATTGGGCTGATTATCATGATCAACACAGACATCATCATGATCAACAAGGACATTATCATTATCAACCTTATCCTCCACCAATGCAATATAATTATTATGGATATGTTTATGCTTATCCTCGTTAATTTTTATTCAGCAAAACTTTCTTTTTTTTACATGGACAAATTTTTATTTTTTATCTAATTAAACAAACATTGTTAAAATATCGTTCATAAATAAATAGACGACATTGTAGATTGAACGGAAAAAGTACAAAAAACTAAAGTGCGTCATTGACTAATGACTTTAATAGCCTAAAGCAAATAATGCTCAAAATAAATTTTCATACGGAAGTCCACAAACATATAGATTAATAATCATTTGTTTATGATAAATCAAATTGTATTAATGATTAAATTTAATAAATTTGAATACGAAAAAAAGAATTTTTCAAGAATAACAAGAAATTCTTATCTCACTCAAAATCTACATTCATCTTGACTGTAATATTTAAATGACTATCAGAGTTTAAGTAAATAAAATTTCAGATTGAAATTCTAACTTAATTCTTCAATGAATCTAATCCAATGAGTATATCTTAAATAGAGCAAACGTTTTTCAGTCTTACATTGCCCTACTCATCACTAAATAATATTTATTAATTTGAAAAATATTGTATTATTTTTTTTTTCATGCATATTCATCATTCATCATAAAAACTTAGTTGTTTTTAGTCATAGAAGAAATAATTGAGGTTGATATTCAATTTAAAAATAGATCAAGTTTTTCATAATCTTCTTTTAGAAGAATACAACGAAGTATTATTGCTTAAAAAAAATAAAAGGCATATTTTTATCTATTAATCTTTCATTAGCTTCTCTAATCTTGATTATAATCTAAGAAAATAATCTAGATAGTTGATGATGAACACGTCATCCGTAATTTCATTTTCTAGATGAAATAAATGAACATAATTTGAAGATCCGAAGGTAATGATGACACTAAACTATTTTATTTGACCTTTTCATTCTAAAAACAATATAAATATTCGATAATAAATGAAAATCTTTCATTTCTTTATCTTCTATTGAATTTTGACAAAAAAACAAACTAAATTTATAAATCACTTGTTATGTTGTTACTAAAAATTTGTTGTATTTTCTTTTATTCGATATGAATTTAACAAAAAAACAACAATAATAATAATAATAGTAAGAAGAGAAGACAAATTAGATGTTAATATCTTTTCTTCAATCTTTAAATCGTTTCATTTTTCATTTAAGTATCGGCTACAGTTACTTCAACATCCACACCTGGTTCAATACTAAAAAAAGAAATAAATATAATTTAAAAACAAAAACAAAAAAAAAATCAATAGAAATAGAAATTTATTCTAACCTAATTGATGTGATTTGTTTAACAATTTCCGATTTTGAATGTAAATCAACAACACGTTTATGAATACGCATTTGAAAACGATCCCAAGTTTTTGAACCTTCACCACATGGTGTTTTACGTGTTGTTATACGTAAAACTTTAGTTGGCATACGAACTGGTCCTTTAACACGTATTTCTTCATCTTTTGCCTTTTGAATTAAATCCGCACAAACTTTTTCAAGTGATTTTACATTTCGAGATGTTAATGTTATACGAATTTTATATTCTTGTTGTTCACCAGCACCAGCTTGAGCTGGAATTTTACCACTTGTTGGATCTTTAGTAGTCATATTTATAATTAATTCACTAGTACACAAGATCTAAAATAAAATTATTATCATGTTAAATCTGAGAATGAAATATCTAAATAAACAAGTGTGTAGAAAAAACTAAAAGTTTTTTAATCACCAATCATATTTAAAGAAGATTATTAAGTTTATTGTAAAAAAAAAACAATATGTTTTTTTTTGTTGTGAAAGATTTCTTTTTAAAATAATAAAAATTTTCATAAAAAAGTAAGATTTTAAATGAAAAATAGATATAAATTGTTAAATATATATTTATGATAATAAGTGACATCTGTTCAATTCGTATGGTTATTAAAAGAAATCCATGATTCGCATTTCGTATTTCAAGAAGCTATATGAAACACAAAAAATATGATCTTTGGAGGAGCTTTTGGTTTAATTTTTATCGGATTCATTTCAATACTTTTCATTATATGGTTAATTATTCGGTAGTTATCAATAAAATAAGATTAGTTGTTTTTTTATGTTATATATAAATTTTTATTTAGTTGTTTTCTAATTTATCTCAAATGGTTTCATAAAATTAATATAAAATATAGTTCGATTGGTCTTGGTGGTATAGAAAATTTCGATATAAATCATAATTTATTTCATCTTCATATTAAATATATTAATTTTTTATCATCATTTTCAATATTTATTTTACGTTTACCAATTATATCAATAGATAATATTCATTTAAAAATTAATTCAATTAAAAATAAAATTATAAATAAAAAGAAACAAAAAAAAGATTGGCATAAAAAATTATATTTTCTTAAAGTAAAGGCTTGCTTTTTTTTTTTTGAAATAAAGAAATTAGAAAAGATTTTATTTTCAGTATGTATCTATTCGAATTGAACAATTACAAATTCAATATGAAAATATAAATATTTTTTTTCATCATATTACATTACATCCATCTGCTACACCTAACACTACAAAGTAATTGTAAAAAAAAAGTCATCTTAACAGTTTTTATTATGTCTTAAATATTAGAAATTTAATTATTTCACTTGATTAATTTTGAGATAATTATTCTCGATAAGAATATCACGAAGTTCGATCAAATGAAACATATTACGCATTTCTAATATCAGAGAGAGAAAAAAACAACGAATGATTATGATGCGAAAAATTTGAAAACAAAAAACTATATGTCTATGAATTTTTACGATATGGAGATTTCATTATAGTTGTGGAATTTGACAAAGAATTGAGTTTTTAGAGTATGATATTTGAATAAATCAAAGTGAAACTTGTAATATATAAAACTTAGTAATAATATAATGTGTTGTAAGAATCTCATTAGAAATTTGAATAATGATATCAATCATTATATTCATCCTACACAAGAGTACCATGCATTTAATATTTAAGTCAATATATGAATAAATGTTTTAATCATTATATTAATTCTATACAAATTAAATTATAGCTTGTTCATATGAGTCGAGTCAATAGAAATATAATACATGTACTATAGATTATCTCTAAGAAAATTGTTTGAGTTTAAGTTTGAGAAACCTTTTAGTGAAATCTTGACAAAATTAACATGTGAAATACACTATAAAAATCATTATTAATACAAAAAGATTATTTTATCCCGTCTGTTTTCTGAGATATATTTCATCATCAATCTTTTACTTAATTCTCGAGTAATTTACTAAGAACCGTTGAAAATTATTGCTAATTCTAGTTATTTGATATGTAGCAACTATGATTCTATTCCAGAAAATTGAAGCCGTGACTAAAACATTTATTTATACGTAAAAATGAAGCTATTAGTTTAAATATCAAATGCATGGAAATTTTGTGTAAGATGATCTGATGACGTATATGGCAGTAAACTATAGTATGAGACATTCTTATGAAATTCGTAGAACAATGTTATGTTACTATTACCGTTAATATCTGTCACGATAATCTATCGATCAATAAAAACTAAGAATTCATAGCTTTTTGTTTTTTTTTTGAATTCTTTGTATTATACTCAGCTCTATATATTTGTAATATTGACCATTATATTAAGAAGAATTGGTAGTAAGAAAACTACATCTGATGAATTTAAAAAGTAGTTAATAAGTGTTTGTACTTATTCGAATAAAATCTAGATTAGTATTATCAAAAACAATTCAAAAAGATTTTCAGCCGTTTAATTAAGATATATAGACAATAGTTTATTTAATTTCATAATCTATTTTTTTATGGAATGAAGTAAAACGAAAACAAAAGTTCTGTGTTCATAAATATTATGAAATCTTCTATACATATTAAATTGAATATTAAGATAAATCATAAATTAAGTAATCATATTCAAGTTCTTATGTGTTTTTGTTTTTAGTTCTGATACATGGATTAATTGTGAATATATTGAATTATCAATTATTGATAAAATAGAACAGTTTTCTTCTAATAATTCATCTTTTGTATTATTAAAATCAACATGGCATAGTGTTGAAATACAAACTAATTTTGATCAAAATTTACTCATTAATTCAACTCATTGGTCTATTGAGTTAGATTATAGTCAGTATTCTATTTCATACAGGAAGAACTATGTACAATTATATTTCTTTTAGAACTATTTGATTATTTAAAACAAAAACAAACTCATTCTACTGTACAACAATATCAACGTGAAACATCAAATTTTCTTTATGAAGATCCAAATTTATTATCAATAACTCAAACAACACATTCAAATAATTTATTAATTAAATTTGATCAATGGGTTGAATTTTTTTATGATCCATTTATAAATATATGTATTAGACAAATTGATTTACAATATAGATCAATGTAGATTTTATTTTATTTTATTTTTTAATTTTTAAATCGTTTTCATTATTTAGAGATAATACTCTTCATTATCATACATTTGATAAAGTTGATTTTTCGTTTCATAATTCTTCAAATGGATCTTTTCAAACACAACATGCATATATCGCCAATATCCGTCTTCATTCTCATTCAACTCTTCTTCTCCATGGCTTATGTCAAATAACAGTTAGTATTCAATTGAACTTCATAGAAGTCTTCGATAGAAAGCTAATATTCCGATACATTAAATATTTTTCCTTACATAGAAATAACTTCTTTTTTTTTGTCAACAAGTTCGGACACTACTGTTGAACAAGATTCTCTAATTACATGTAGAATTGATTTTAATGTCGAACAGTTCTTTTACTCATTTGATGTGAATTGTGAACTGATCGACCTCAATTCTCTTTTTTTTCCCTTTATTATACATTTGCCTGTCGTAATAATAACAAGAGCAAATTGTACTTTTTTTTCTTTATTGATTTCAAATGAATTGAAAGGAAATATCAATTAGAAAATAACGAATTTTGGAACTTTGACATCTATGAAACTCGCTATGATCTAATAGAATTATTTAATATATATTATGAAGGACTATTTAATCAGAAAAAGAAGTTCTATATAAAGCTGTTGGAATATTTACATCTATTATATTCTATTTGATTGAACTAGCACGATTTTATTGATGTAAATTTATTAATTGACTTCATTGTTAGAAATTTACATAAGCGACAACTCTTCATTTTATAGTTTAATTACATTATCATATCCAATTGTTACTTACTGCTAATTTAATATTATTATGAAAATATCTAAATCATAAAAAAAACTATAAACTGTAATTTGAATGTTTTCAGCCCTTTTTTTTTATCAACAACAATTATATTATAAGGATATCTTAAAAAAACACAATGAAATAAAATTACGTTAATTTTATGAATTATTTTTCATATAGATATTTCCTACTCGTCTTGATATTGCATGTCAATTCAATGAACTTAATATTGAATTATGTGAAGATACTATTCAACAATTCCATACATTATTATCATCTCGATCATCAACATCATCTAATAAGTAAATTAATTCAAAATTCTTAAATTTTAATATTAAATATTATTTTTTTTAGTACATGGAAATGTGATCGACAAATAGATATATCATTTCAATTTTTAAATCCATTTATGCGTTTAAAAATGAACGATATTAATGAATTGTTTATTTGGCAAATAAATTTTTTCAAATTAAGTTTTCATTCTAATGAAAATTCAGAAACAAAGTAAATATTATCTATAATGACGAACAAAAACTTATAATAGTTGTATGTTTGAGTTATCTTCTCGATGATAACAGCTACGAAGAATCTGAAAAAAACGAAGTGTAATGCTTCAACTTTCTTCATCGAACTACATTCAATTCATAGAAGGTGCCAAATAATCAAACATAACGAGGGTAGCATGAATTTCGTCGTACTAACTTTCGCATTTAACTTTCAGCAATTGCCAAAAGTTGTGTTTTTGTAAAAATTTTTGACTGTAAACAGGAGGGATCTTTGGCAATAGCCAATAGTTCAGTTTCGCCAAATATCGGAGATCTTAATAAAAATATTAATCAACTAATTAATTATAGTAAAGAAACCACACTTTGGGCATTGTACGATTTCAAGTTTCCGGAAGTCCTTAAACAATATTAGTAGACCTTATGAGTGATGATATCGTCTAATAACACATACAGTTTGAATTGATCATGGAAGAGGTGCGTAAGAGAATGTATCGCGATGCTAAGTACGCTTTTATAAGAATTCGGGATCATCTATCGCTCAAAGTTCACTAAATAAAATAATTGACAAAAGTATAGTTTCTTTACTATGATTAATTAGTTGACTAATCTTTTTTTTTAATAAGATTTCTGATAATTACCAAAAGTGAACTATTGGCTATTGCCAAAGGTCCCCCTGTTTACAGCCGAAAGTCCTACAAAAACACAATTTTCGCCATTGCCGAAAGTCAGTACGATGAAATTCGCATTTTCCCATAACGAAAACATTTGAAATCTTTCATAGAAAGAAAAAAAAAAGAAAAATGGTTTTTAAGTCTTCTGTAAATTGAATGCAGTTTGACGAAGAGAACTGAAACATCATATTTCGCTCGATTAAATGAAAGCGTTTTCAAAAAGTTACAAATGGATGCCAGAAAATCAACTTCGAAAGTCTTCGCTTATCCAAGTAGTCTTTTGAAGTTTTGAGCTCTACCAATACTGATATAGAAACTTTTCAGCTACTACTCAAATGTTTTTCTTTTTAAGATTCTTCCTAGTTATAAACATCTAGACAGTAACTTTAAACCTATATCTACCACGACATATACATATCTATTTTCTTTTTTTAAGAACACTAATCGAATTAAAAAACATGTTAATATATACATCGAATAATAATGATAGTTTTTCTCAATCATTAATTGATGATCTTAGTAGACAACATTTATGGTATTGTCTTTTATATTTACCAAATGCTAGTATAACTGTATGAATAAAAAAAAATTTGAATATCTTAATTAAGAATATACATTGCTTTGTTTTTTGTGCATTTGATAGATCTCAAAAATATATACAACACATGTGGAAATTGAAATCATTGGAATACGTTTACAATCAAATCATATTTTAATATCTTTTTTAAAACGTCTACAAATAATTTTATCTTCATCAAAAAAATCAAAAATAAATTCTAATCGTTTTAATGAAATATCTTTACATATGAAATCTATTACAATAATTATATGTGATACTGTGCCCGGTAAATAATATATCATATGAAATAGTTGAAAAATAAAAATACTTTTTTTTTTTTGTCAGTATATTTATGTGTATCAATATCAACAATACGTGCAAGTCGAACACAAATAGATATGAAAAAAAATTTAATATATTTTGATAATCAACCATCGGATAAAATTGTTTGTATTTTAAATTTTCGTTTCTTTTTTTTTTCAATTTATTGTTGTAGCCATTAACTTCATTAACACATGGTCAAAAAATATTTGATGTTCGTCGTATTTCTATTCAACATCATCCAGTAAATATGCAAAAATTTTGTCTTTTTATAATATATGTATATATATTTTGCTACCATTTTTTCTTTGTAGAATAATTATACGATAAAAATATCTGTTCCACATGATTTAACATTTGTTTTATCAACTAAACTTTATCTATTTCTTTATCGTTATATATCATCATTAAAATTCAATAATGATAAAACAACAATAGTATCAAATAATGATGATAATAATAAAAATCAAACAATAGCAAATGATATTGAATTTAAAGTAGATAAATGTGCTCATATTCATTTACAATTATCAACTGATAGCAGGTTATATAGAAAAAAATTTATTATAATTTGAATTAATAATATAACAATCATTCGATTTATTTCTTTTAGAATATTTCATTTTATACAAAAATTAAATAATAATAAAAATTATTCTAGTTTTTATACATGTATAATCCTTATAGATTCATAATCATTTGAAAACAATTTTTATTTTTTTGGAAAATTCGATATAAGATAAACAAATGTTTTTTTTTTATGTCATTATACTTGAATCAAAAATAGAAGAAAAAAAAATACTTTCCTGACCTTAGTTTTGACTTAGAGAAGACTGTTTCAAAGTTGATTTATATTAAATATAAATATGACTTGAATACTGAAACAAATCTTAAAATGAAAAATTCTATTTCATGTTTGAATTTGTTTCCTTTTTTAATCAAACTCATGCATACGAGAAAATTAGTGACTATGATTAATATTTCTGACTATCGAGCGATACTTTGAAAAGAATTTATTGAATAAATCGACAGACTTTTCTAACCGTTCCAATTGCTGAAGTGCAAACGTATATATCTAAAAAAATATCTATTATCGTATCTTTTTAATTAACACTTACTTATATTCCTTGAGAACTAATGCTAATTACTACTATCTGGAATTGTCATGAACTATCGATTAGTAAAAAGAATTTTATTTCATCAATACGTCTTTAAAATTTCGTGCTTACGAAATCAATAACTTTGAAAAATTGAAAAAAATTCGAATTTTTCGAAACAAAATATTCTCTACCTACACTCAATAGGATTTTTTTAAAAATTTCTACGTGATATAATTCGATGACAAAGCCTAATAAGAAGTAAGATATGTTTCGAAAGCATTATGATAACTCGACGAATCACAAATATTAAAATGTACAATTGATCATGCAGCTAATATTAGGAAGCTGAAGAGAAATTAGAGCAAAGTTAATAGATGAATTAAAAACTTCGACTTACGAGAATTTGAAATAGTGTGTATTCATTTGACATTAATTTCTGTTGATGCACTTCTTTCTTTTTTCCTATTACTCGAATGATATGGAGCAAATATTGCTTTTGCTCACTCAATAAGTCCAATCAAACGATTCTCCACAAAGAGTGAGCTATTCAGTGAATCAAACCATATCACTGAGATATTAGGAACGTAAATACTATATTTATAAAATTCTTTAATTGGTGACACTTCCGAAACATCTGTCAAAGGTATATAGTTAATGAAAATAATAATTTCGAAGAGCAATTTATAACATAAATGTGATCGATTCGATTACAGAAAAATATGAATAGATCCTAGTTGATTATCTATCTATTTTTTCTCAATTGATTTGAAAAATAACAAGATCTCTAGACGTATTCGTAAACAACAATAAAGAAAAAAAAATAGTCATAAAAAATTCAATACTTTTCTTATCAAAAATCATTCTATTCTATTTATTTTCAATCTTTAGGATTCTATTAGAACTTCATCAATTTTCATCTCGATTTGTACGTAATAGTTTAATTGATAATGAAACACAAATGCAATTAAAATGTTCACAATTAACAGTCGATTGGCAACAACAATGTCTTTTTGTTGTGCATGTAAATTTCAATTTGAAAATATTTATATTTACATAAATATTTATTTTTATTATTATTTAAAATAGGATATATCATTTATACGTCTTATTCAATCCGAAATTTTAACAACAGAACGAATTTTATTACAAAAAACAATTGGTTCACTTGATATGCTTCATAATCGAGCTAGTCTATTACAAATTAATTCATTTTCTATTCATTTTCCTTTTGATTCAACATTTAATGAAGTTATTGAAAAGGTTTTATCTTTTGAAAAAAAAAATCTTAATAAAAATTTTCATTTTATTATTATTATTTTTTTCTTAAGTTTATTAATATTCGTAAATGGTTAAAACGTCTTCATAAAACTAATGGTGATATGTCATCAACATTTTTAAGTCAAGTTCCAAAACATACTATATCAAATGAAGTTTGGACAGATTTATCAATTAAAATAAATGTTTGTTTATTTATTTTGAATTGATTCATTTGATTCTTTTTTTTTTCTTTTTTCTCAAGGAATTTGAATTAACTATAATTGATGATTTATTTGAAGTTAAATTATTTCAAAATTATTGTGTAAATAAAAAAAAAAAAACAAAAGATAATATTTTAATATTTCTATCGTTTATGTTTTTGTTTTTTTTCTTCTTCCAGTTAATGGCTGATGAATATCATGAACGTGAACTACGTGAACAAGAATTACAACATCGTATTGATGGACATGAAAAAATATCTCAACCATTAAATAATATAAATGAATTAAAAAAAGCTTTAATGGAAGCTAATTCACGTGTATATATAAAACGTTGTCAAAAAACAAATTATGATGAAAATAATCAACGAATAAAACGTAATTTAATACGTTGGCATTTACGACAAGTTGATTTAATTGCATTAGCTGATCAATCATGGACAGGAAAAGAAAATATATTAAATATAATACATCGTATTGATTATGATAGTCCAAGAATACCAATTGATACAAGTGATTTATGTACAATATGGTGTCGTTATGTTATATTAAAATGTGATGATTGGTCAATACATTTTCGAGATTTTCGACAACCATTATGGCAAATGCAACAATTTCATCTTTGGGGACATATTTGTGCAGCTGAAACTACACCAGATAGTTTAGATTCTATAAGAACACCTTGGATTGATATTGGTGAACCTTATTCACCAAGTCGAGTTCAAGTTCAAAGACTTTTATCACCATTAAAATTTTATCATGATATTAATTCAGATATTGATTCTTTTGTTATATCTTTTGGACCAGCTGTAAGTGAATAGATTATATTGAATTTTGATTATAATCTTTTTATTCAAAATATGTCTTGTTGACTTGAAATATGAAATAATTTTTAAAATGAATGAATTTTATCATACAATAAGAATTTAGTTTATACGAAGATTTTCTGTTGACTAATTTGAACAATGTGTTATAAAAAAAAAAATTTAATTGCAGTTCTAATACAATAACTACGGTTATGTCTATAAACTTATTAATGAATAGTATAAAAGAGCAATCATAGTTTCGATAAAAGTAATTGTTTCGTTCATTGTGTCTGATAACAACACAATAAATTTGATCAAGAGTTGGACAGTTACGCACGAATACTTCCACCTTCAGACGGACTTTTAAAGAAAATACAACGAAGAACAATTTAAATATATTATTTAGTTGTTTCGTAAGATTGTATTTAAAAAAAAAATCAATAAGATGCAGCAACAGTGAAGAAGAATATAGAGAGACAATACACATCCGATATCATCTATTTGATCATTAGCATCTCTATGTGAATTTCCAATAAGTGTAGAATGACAGATCTGATCAATTGTTTTGGATACTTTTAATTTTGAAAATACTAAACAAGTAGTTAACTGCGGAAGCCAATTTTTGCGATTACATAATCCGACTCCAATTCTAGATATTGTCACTCTGTGACTCCAGTTTCGATTCCAAGAAATTTTCAGGATAGTTCAGCGACGTCTTAAACATTTTAGAGAAATAAATAAGTAAACCAATCAGTCAAAAAATGAACAGCTTTTATTAATATAAATGTTAGTTCTTGTCGGATGATTTTTCAAAAATGACTAAAAAGAGTTTTGATAAAAAAAAACACTTTGACTTCGGCTTTGATACAGTTCATTAGAAACAAGTCATATTAATATTAAGGATAAAGTTCATCATTAAAGTTATTGATCATTGACAAATTTCATTCTAATAGTTTATTTTAATGATTCTAATTTAATTATGATACACTTAGAAAAAAAAAATTTTTTTATTCTAGTGGGAAAATACCATAGCTCAAGTTAATTTATGTTTAAATAGTATAACACCTCGTACAGTAGATCCTTCTTCATTACTTCCATGGTGGGATAAAATTCGTCTTTATCTTCATGGTCGATGGTCATTTGCTGCAAATAAAATGTCATGGCTTTATCATGTTGGTTCAAATCCATATAATGATACTGAAGAAATGGAATGGGTATGGGATCAAGCATATGTTGATTGGACAAATGGAAAATTTATAATAAAAGCATCAAGTCTTTCTATTAAATTAAGAACAAGTTCAAAATATGATGATTGTTGTTTACTTTATTTACCAAATGTTGATACAAGGTTCAATATAAAAGAAAAAAAAAATAAATATATAACTAATTAAAGTTTTTTTTTCGTGAATAGAATATCACTCAATTGGTTGTGTGCTGGTAATCCAAATGATCACAATGCTGTTCGACTTGCTACACGTGATGCCGTTAAATCAAGACAAAAACAAGAGGTACGTTTAGTTGAATGGGATTAAGATATTTGAATTCGAACTACTCATGTTCAATTCTTCCTGTCAGAACTTGTGTGTGAAATGATGTTTATTATATTTTGATAAGTCAGTCTGATATTTATTTATGATGTCAGATTAATGTATTCTGATCACACATTGATCTTGATTTTTATAGATCATATAATCAAAAAAAAAATTTTATTTTATTTTCTAGTCATATGATTCTTATGCTTTATATCGTTCACTTCATTTGAATGCAACAGCTAAATTTGAATGTAAAGACGTACCTGAAGGTGAAACACCACCAACATGTACTATCTTTGCAAGTACATTGCGGTTTTGTGAAAGTGTTAAGGTAAGATTTGAAAAGAAAAAAATAAGTCAATTTTCATGAAAAACATATAAATTGAAATAAATGCATAAAAAGATAGTCCTAGGTTTGATCGTTCGTAAATGACATGGTTTTTTCCTAAAATGTTCGTCGTTTTCTGCTTGAAAAATATGCTTTTTTGATCGGATATTCCAGAATTCTCGAAAGTACTTCATTGTAGCAAATAACTTTATTTTTGTTTTATATGAAAGAGCATGTCAACAGAGTGCTACTTATTTTTTGAAACATTGAACCATTCATCCCTTTTCTGTACTTAAACAATAATAATTTGAAATAAAAAAAGCTATACCATATTTTGCATCATAACATGTTCTTTCGAACAAAAAAGAACCAATTAAGTATATAGAATAAAGGCCTGCTGAGAATGTTGAATTACCAAAGAAATTATTGGTAGATTCTTGTTTATTGAACGGCTTCCAAAAACTTCATACGATTTGTATATGTCTAGTCTAAGATCGATTTCATTTCATTTTTCTTATTTCATAGAATACAATGATGTCAATAACTCGACCAACACGTCGTGGACGTTTATTTTTATCACCAGGTGAAACTGTTGTTCCACCACGTAAACCTCTATTATCTCGTCATTATCAAACTGCTGAATTACAATTAATTTTACCTCAGTTTCGTGTTAAATATTTAACATCATTTGCACGTCAAACTGGTGCACAAGTTGATTGTCGTTTATTTAATTTTATAACATATCAAGAATTACATTTAATTGATCATCATGATGGTCTATCACGACGTGCTAGAATATTATGGAAACCAAAAATGATGAATGTTAATTTAGAACGTGCACAAATGTGGTTATTACGTGATGCTAATGAAGATAAAGAAATAAATGAAATATCAAATAAATCTGATAATAAACAAGAACCACAACAACAACGAACATTTTTTCTTAGTTTAGATAGTCTTGTTTATATACGTTCACCATCAACAAATAGTAAAACAAGTACACATTCAGTATTAATCGATGGATTAAAAGCTGTTTGGAATTTAAAAAATCGTCGTACACTTTTTCTTGTTTATGAACGTTATCGTCGAAATAATATACTTCGTTCAAATCTTTCAAATCCATTTGCTAAAGAACTTGAACATTTACAACAAGAAAAAACTGCTAATACACCATCAAATCCATCACCATCGGATGATAATATAACTATAAATGATGAATTAAATTCAACAATACCAGCAGCAGCAGCAGCATCAACTACAACATCAGTAACTGTAACAACAAATGGTACAACTTCACAACCATCAACATTAGCTTCATTTCTTGATCAACTTATTAATGAAAGTCAACATAAACCAAGTGTTGATCTTGATCCTGTACGTTAGTATTTAATTAAGTTTAAAAATTTTAGAATAGAATACTAATCATTTAGTTTTATTCTATTTAACATATTTCATTAGTAGTATAATTTTCATGTCAAAATTAAATAGAAATAGATGTAAACTTTATAAATCAACAACGGCAACAACTATCCATTCATGGTTTTCAGAAATCGAAAGGATAGAACTTTAGATATCTTTTTGTTTGATACAATATAGAACAGTATTATTAAAAAAAACTCATTATCTTTGTAAAATTTTCATAAAACTTCATGAAAACGGTATACTGTTTCGAGGAACATGTGCTTTAAATAGAGAAACTTCAGATCTATAGTTCAAGACACGAATCAGATGATTATTTTCTCATATGTTAATGTTGAACAAACAAAATCATTTATTATAGAACGCTGATGATTTTTAGTAAATTTTTTGACTTTTTATCAAAATTTTCCTGTTACGAACCATCATTTTCATCCATACTTTTGAATGTTTTTTATGACGATAATGAGTTTTAAAATAATTCTGTCTTATATAGTACCAGAAAAAAAACCTTCCTTTCCATTGCTAGAAATCGCAGATCAATAGCTGCTGCCGTTGTCAAGTTATTGAGTTTACACCCAACCATGTTTAGTTCTATTGCAAACCTTAGTTGAATATTACCAAGTTTTTTTTTTGCATGGATTTGTAACTGTAAAAAATCGCATCGGACACAAATTTCATGTCGATTTTGTTTCTCCTGTATTTCAGTATAGAAACAGACCAATTCTCTTTATGTAAAACATAACCAATCATCTTTTATACTACCTTCGGTATGCCGGCAGTATATCATCGGTTAGAAAACAACTATTGGTACATCGAGGTAGACGAACAGTCAGAATATAGTTGATTGTTTAAGTGTTAAACTATAGCCGGCATAGTATACATTATATCCAATAGTCTACCAACGATTTTTATTCGGTTTGAATAAGATGAATAACGTGTTGATTAATTTCTTTGTCGAAAAACTATAGAAGAAAAATAAATAATTACAACAGTTTCATCCCACTGACTATTCATAATTTGTTTGGAATCCAAATGTGTGTTTTCTTTTTTTGTAGTTTTTCGTTCTGTACTAAAATACTATGTATCAATTTTTGGACGCAGTCTTAACCTTAGTATTTTGTATCCTATGAGTTGTATAAAACTCATAATGAATACATTTGTGAACAAGAAAAATTATTGCAAACATTCTATGTTTAAGTTATTAATGTGATTTGGTTAATATAAGTATGAAGAAATATAAACAAGGTGATAGTGTTTGCTTTTATCTCAAATTAAATAAGTTTACAACATATACCGAACTATTCATTTGCAAAGATTTATCTATTTACTAACTTTTGCTTACGAGGAAATCTCTTCAGATTTCAAATCGTTTTTCAAACAAGACGATGTTCATTTGACGAATGCTAGAGGGTAATAGAAAAGTTTAGAATAACTCGATTTTTCAGGTCTATGCTCTCAAGATATCGGAATTTTTGCTGAGTTTTTCAACAAAAATTAAGAAGAATTGAATGTATCAAGTTTCAAGTTTTCTAGTATTTCTAATTTGAAATTGTAAATATAGGAACAGAATTCGCTTGTATACATAAGAGACTTTCGAACGTTTAATATATCAAAATAAGAAATATTAGAAAAGCGATAACTTATCTGATGAACTAATCTCCGTGAGAACTTTTGTCCGTGCTCTCTAGTGATCTAAGATGTGCATCACAACTTTTTGTTAAAAAAAAACCAACGAAATTTCATTATTTCAAGAACGCAGGCACAGAAAACTAAATCATACTTAACTTGCCTATTACTCATTAGTTTTTATCAAATGGACATCGTCTTGATTATTGAAAAGTGATTTAAAACTTGGTGAGATTTCCTCATCGGATCTTCTACTCAGCTAAAAAGCTTATATCCTTTTTGATTTACAAAATAAATTTTCTAATAAATGAAAATATAATTAATGGGTATCGCTGATCATATATCTTACATCATTTTAACAAAAATAATCTGAGAATTTCTAAGGTATGCTTTAATAACAACTAAAAAAAAGTCATTACTTCAAAAACTTGCATATATTTTTCATTTCAATCGATAAATCTTGTTAATAAACTATTTCTTATTTTAGAATTCATTATGAAGAACAAGAAAAAACATTTTTTTCTAAAAGAAATAATTGATGAATCATTTTATTTTATTTCTAGGTTGTCGATGCATCTGTATCTTTAGTTGGTCTTCGTCAATGTACAAAAGATGATGTTGAAGAACATACATTACATATTGAATTGGGTGATGGTCAAATAGCTTTACGTGGTATTGAATCACGTGGTTATGTTATATTATCAGCTGGTATTGCATTAGTTGATCAATATCGTCATAAACCTGTTTGGCGTGATCAACAATTATGTGATAAAACATCATGGCATGGTAATCTACAAGGTATGCAATATTTTGCAACAACAGTTTCATCAACATCAACATTATCAACAATCGATAATACAAATAATGCATTATTATCATCAGATGATGATATTATTTGGATTCCCCAACGTGATATTCGTGATGAAAATTCTTTATTAGGTGAATCATCACGAAGTGTTATTGGAAGTATAGCAACAAATGATGGTTATGGTGATCAACAACTTCAATGTATTGTATCAAAATCAAATGCAAATTTATCATATGTATTTTATACTGAACAAACTCAACAAGAAGAAGAAACTGATACAAATCTTGTTATTCCGGTATATAAAAAGAAGAATAAAAATCTTTTTGTTTTTTGTTGTTGTTAAGTAATTCATTTCATTTGTTTAGCCATTTATAAAACCATCTATAAATGAATCAAATCCAATTGGTGAAAGTGATCGTTTACTTGTTGATTCATTAACATTTATTCATAATGATATTCAATTATCAACAAATTCAGTTTGTTGATTAGATTTATTTTATTTTATTTTGATAATTTCTTTTTTTTGTTTTATCTAGTCACAATATCGTACAATAATGGATATTGTTAATAATTTACTTTTATATGTTGAACCGAAAGAAGAAGTAAGAACCGATCTGATCAGTCGATCTTCAGCGATTGAAAAATATTTTTATAGATATATCACTTTTTTTTTTTCATAAAACTTGTTGAGAGCAAGTTTTTTTGAGCGAAGTATACTTCACTCTTTTTTTTGTAAAAGCACAATCAAAACGGAATCGAACAAATATAAACGACTATAATATGATTTGTAAAAAAAAGCTGAGTACAAAAAGAAAATGAATATTTTTTTGAAATCATCCCCAGTAACCAATTAATAATGAGCCATCAGTTCTTATTGAGTTGTATCGGTTTAAAAGATTTTTTGTATCAGATCGATTATAACTTTGATTTGAATAATATATCAAAATTATAATCATTCTTTATTTTATTTTTTTTTTTTTCTAGGGTACTAATAGTAAATTAAGAAAACTTCGTTTACAAATTCAATTAGCTGATAATCTTCCTGTTTTACGTGATAGTATTCGTCATTTACTTGAACGTGTTAGGTAAAATATATTAACAATAAACAGACAATGAAATTACGTTTTTATTTCATATTCTATTAGATCAACATTAGCTAATTTACGAAGACTTGAACGAGAAATTTATTTTTTAAGTCGAGCAAATACTAATTTAGTGTAATTATAATATTTCAATGTTTTTCAAACAAAATAGAAATTTTTTTTTTCATTAGTAATTCTTATTCATCTGACGAAGAAGATGGTGGTGGTGGTGGTGTTCGAGATCATACACTTTCATATACATCAGAAGAAAATGAAAAATTACAAACATTATATACTTCCGTTAAAGTTCAATTAAATAAATTAGCAGAAAAATTAGGCATGATGTGTGCAGTTTATAAAGATATGCAATTAGCACGACTTATTAAATTAAGGATAGCAGCAACAAGTATGTTTAAATTGTTTTTTAATTCCAATGAAAAATTTATTTAAAGGTAATAAAACTGCTCGATTGGAACGACGATATGAACTTCATGGTGGTTCAATTACATGGTTTATTAAACATGAAGATGGACAAATTACAAATGCAGAATTTCTATTAAGAAATATTTTGTAAGGAAAAAAGAAAATAGGAATAAAAATTTTTGCTTTAGAAATTCAGATTTTGCTTAATAAATATTCTAGAAATCATGTAATCGTTTTACTGACATCGAGAAGAAAATAACAAATTGCAAGACTAAAGTCGCTACTGTTTCCTACTCGATTGACATTCATTGAAATTATCGTAGTCTTCTTTTTCTTTTAAGATAATCATCAATAAATAACTGATGTTTTTTTTTATACTAAATTATTATAAGAATAAATGCTTCTCACAAAACTCACCGGGGACATTGGAGTATCCTACTACAAAAAGAACATATTTTGATAGCATAGACGACTCACTTACAGTAGTTTGATATTTACATCAACACAGCGTATTTCGACGTATGACCCTAACGAGGGAACATTCCAAGGTGTTGGAACGCTTTAGAGTCGGGACTTTGCGCATCTTGTAGACCTTGATGAATTATGTCTACTGTATGAAAAGTTCGTGCCCCTAGCTTGTTCCTAGTGAGATATCGAGGTTTTAGTGAATTTTTCCTATAAGACCCCACATTTGCAGCAAGGCCATATTTTTTTAATTTTGATCTGAAACTTTGTCTACATAAACATCTCAGCGAGACTAGTTTGCATAAAAATTTTCAGAACTTTTGGACAAAGTCTCTTCGAGTTATGAAGCTTTCAAAAAATGCATGCTTTATACGCTATCTATGGAAAACGGCCTATACGTTGAGAGCTTCATATCTCGGAGAGACTTTGTTCAAATGTTCTGAAAATTTTTGTGCAAACTAGTCTAGTTGAGATGTTTATGTGGACAAAGTTTCAGATCAAAATTAAAAAAATATGGCCTTGCTGCAAATGTGGGGTCTTATAGGAAAAATTTACTAAATCCTCGATATTTCACCAGGAACAAACTAGGGCACGAACTTTTTTACGGTAGACATAATTCATCAAGGCCTACAAGATGCGCAAAGTCCCGACTCAAAAGCATTCCAACACCTGGGAATGTTCCCTCGTTAGATTTCTATATACTCATCACATGTATCTTTGATTCTTTAGTTCAGTTCTGAAGAAAATAATTTGCTGCAGGCAATCATTTTCTAATAATGATCAATTAGAATTCAAATATCGATTTCTTTCAAAATCAAATTATTTTTTAATAAAAACATTGATATTGATTAAATAATATTCTTTTTCTTTCTCTTTTTGATTATTAATCAGTAACAAAACTTAAAAAGATTATTTATATATTTATATACTATTCTCTTTTTTTTGTAAGGTATACTAAACGTTATTTTGAAAATGGTACAAATGAACATTCAATAAGTATTGGTCAAGCTCAAGTTGAAAATTTATTACCTGATGATCGATATCGAACAATTCTAACATCAAATTGTCAACAACAACATACAATGATACGTGTTTATTGTAAAGAAGGAGAATCTGTGGGTGGTATTGCTGTAAAAGAACATCTTGGTAATAAAAAAAAAATATTTTCTTCATTCTTTTTCAAATTCAATAAAATTTTTCATATAGAAATTAATGTAGCACCACTTGTTATTCAAATGACACGTCGTTTTTCTCAAATGTTAATGGCATTTCTTTTTCCTAATAAAACTCAACAACATAATGAAATACAACAAACAAATAATAATCGATCGAATAAATCTTCACTTAAACATACAAATTCAACTGCATTCAAACGTCGAACAAGATCAGCTGAAGTAAGTAAAAATATGAAAAAAAGAAATTCTTTTTTTATTTTTCTTCATAAAAAGAATAAAATAGTAAAAAAAAATAAAATAAAACAAAAAGGATAATATTCGTCGATAATATTTACTTCTATAGACTATGTTACGTCGATTCAGTCGTCGTACTTCGAATGATATTCGATGGGTATTATTACCTCTCCTGAATTTTTTTTTTCGATCGCAGTTTTTATACGCACATCAATCTCTTGTTCCTCTTATACTAGTCTTCTTGTTCTTCTTCATGTATGCGTGTGTGTGTGTATGTTTATTGGGTTACTCACAGACTAAAATTCAATGCCTGTTTTATTTTTTTCTTTTTAATTCTATTAATTAAAATAAATTTGTTTTCAAATTTTATTTTAGGGTGAAGAAGAATTATTAACTGGTCGATCATTATTCTACTTTAGTAATGTTGATCTTGATGCAATGGAAAAACGTGCAAAAAATACATTATCATTTCAATATATTAAAATTCCTGAAGTATCATTAATTGTTTCATATAAACTTCGAGTAAAAAAAAAAAATTTGATGAATATATTAATTTTTATTAATTAATTTTATTTTAAAGGGTACAAAAGAAAAAAAAATTGGAGATTTAGAAAATGCACATATATCATTTCCAACACTTGAATATCGTAATTTAACATGTAGTTGGCATGATCTTGTTTTAATTATAAAATCTGATGTTAAAACAGTATTACTTTCTCAAGCTATTCGACAAAATATTAATTTAAGATTACCATTTATTGGAAAATCTACTCGAGCACAAAATCAACAATTATTAGCAACAACAATAACAACAACAGGAGGAGGAGGACGAGTAGAAGGAACAACAAATAATTCGATTTTATTTAATTCGGATGCAATTAATAATAATGAAATATCGACTATAAATGAACAAGAAGAAGAAGAAGAACAGAAACATAAAATGAAACTTGTTCTTGGAACGAAAATACCAAAGGTAAAAGAAAAAAATTGACTCATTTTATTTTCATCAGTGAAAACAAGATATTTATTTTAGGATCTTATAACACAATTTAAACGTCGAAAAGATCCATGAATAAATTGAGTTTTTCATATTTTCCTTTTTTTTTCTTTAAAAATAAATATTGTGATATTTTATTTCATCGTGTTGTAGTGTGTATTTTGTTTCTAAACCGTTAATAAATCCATATCTTGTGTTTATTTTTGTAATAAAGTTTTGTTTTGTTTTGTTTTGTTTTTAAAAATCAACTTATCAATTAAAACTATTCGATCTATATTTAATAATCATTATAGAAAACTATCTCAAATAATAATCATCAATGAATCAGAATCTAGATTTGTCTAATCTAGTTTTTAAAAAAAAACACCAATTGTCTCCTTTGTAATTGTATCTAATTAATAGCTTAATTATTTTATCTTTATATAGTAGATGTGCGCGTTGGTGTGAGCAATTGAAAGATTGGTCAGTTTGTCTATTGACACAGTCACACTCTTCAATACTTGAATTCCATCTTAAAGACTAAACAGATAATGAAGATTAAAAAAAATACTATTAGAGAATCATTTTTTTTTATGTGTGGTTCTTGCGAACGATTGCCAATATTTCTTTCAATAAAGTAGATGTCAGAGAAATATTCAATTCATAAACTATTTGATTATCATCTCTTCAAAAATTAGTTAGAGATGAATTAAAAAAGACTTCACTTGCAGATGTTACTAACAATAAAATATACAGTTTTTATGTAAAATTTGTGTTACAATAAATTGATGTTTTTTTTTTCTTTAATATTTTAGATGACTGAACAGGAAAGCGTTGAACCAAAAGTATTTCAATGTTCTCTATGTCCATTTTATGCTGCATATGATCGATACGATTCAAAGTATATTGATGAATCTATTCCGTCATCTGTATCAACAACACAAAATACTAAAAATAAAAAAGAACCATCTATAACAATTGATTTGATTGAAAAAGTATATCTTCTTCGTGATCCATTTGTTGCTATCAAAGATAAAGAAGATAAAAAAAAATTATCATCATTAATTATTGGTTCAATATGTTCTGTATGTTCATGTCCAGTATGTGTTCATTCAGATTGTAGTTTATTTTATACAAGAAGATTTTGTTTAAAATGTGTTGCAAAATATCGTGATGAATTTCCACGTGAAATTCTTGATGAAATTGGTACCAAACGATTAGAAAAATATTTAAATGAAGATCTTGAACAATATGATGAAACTTAAAATGAATTGTGTTTGATCTTATGTTTAATATTGTAAATAACCAAATTGATATATTTTATAAATAAAAGTTTTCTTATAAGAATAGATTATTTTGAAATTAGATTATTTCTATCATATTTAAAATTTTATATTAAATAAAGCTTTTCAATATGTTACATAGAGAAATGAGCAAATACATATTCAAATCAAAGGTTACATTAAGAATAGATTCGAACTCGAAGATAACAATGAAGGGTTAGGTTAACGATAAGTTTGAAGCGTAATAGGAATATGTCGAAGGTAACAAAGTGAACTAACCTGTAATTCGTTACCTTACCTTCGACAGTTCCGTAATAGCTTGTGGTTGATACTCAAATTCTGAGTTTATGGAAGTGATGATCACTTTAGAATATATTTTTTACTCCTACTGGAGTAGCAATCATTTAATCATTGATATGCTTTATTAAAAGTGTATAATTAGTTAGATAACTTATTATTTTAATAATATAAGTGTTAAGATGTAAAAGAGATTATTCTAAGAGAATGAGAAGTTTCGACAGACTCCATTTTTATGACTCTTTTAAACTAATAGTTTGAAGTTTTTCCTATCAAAACGACAAGCATAGAGTATTTTACTTGATAAAGAAAGCATTTTCAAATGTGATTCTAAACAGGTATTGAAAATTGATTTCTTTTCTTATTCAAAAAAATTTTAAAAATAGTATCATGACTTGAATATTTTACTATAATAAGAATAACTTGGCTATATAACCATCGATTAATAGTAGCTCACTCTTACTTCTTATACTCTCAAGATCATTTATTACCCGTGTCAGTTTTGTCTTATTGTTTCGAAAGGAATAAAGAGAAAATCTAACTAAATGATTCATCGCTGCTTATGAAAACCATGTTTTAAATTACCAAAAAACATAGTCTCACATATCATTATTTAAGAACTTTCATTAAATCTTTTTGTTCTTTATCCCATTTTCAAAAATTTAAACACGTAAATCATCAATAGAAAAACACATTAATCTACTAGGTATACAAAAATATATTCAAATTTCATTAGACATATCTTAGTACTAGACAAAAGTCAAAAAATGATATAATGATATTTATTTGAGTATTTCTAATTCATTGTTTACAATTTAAGTGAATGTTCATCTGCTATATCAGAAAAATCAAATCTAATTACGATTACTCGTCTTTACACTAATTTGTAGTCATAAATTCTTCTAGATAAAAGTTAAGAAAACTTTTAAATGAAAAAAATTCCTTGTCAACTTAGCTTGATCATTATGACAAAAAAAAAATTACGCAACAGAGAAAGAGAAATTTTCTTTATTCATCTGATTATCATTTTTTCCTTTATTCATTACAATAAAATAGAAGATAAGTTCAAATAAGGAAATCTTGTTATACGAACAATATCATTTGTTAGCAACATGATGCCATGCCATTAAAATACGTACATCTCTAAAAATCGATTTTAGATAATTTTTATCTATTAAATGTATGTTGAGTTACTCTAGATACCCTGGAAATCTCAATTCTTAAGCCTTTATTTCGTCAAGTTATCATTGAGAAATTAATGCTAGTGACTTGGCACAAAAAACTAACTTTCAATGGTATCAATCTTTCATGGAGGTTTCAAGCTAGTAATAGAATAAAAAGTCTCGTTTTGGGACATGAGTAGAGAATTAGTTTCAGTGAAGTCATTTTTTGAACTCGGACTTTTTTGAAAATTTCATTATCGATATAACTTGTTGTATGAAGTGTATCTTGGACTTTTCATCATAAATTCAGAACGTTACTCGTTAATTAGATTCTAATTAATCAAATAATTAGCCAATTAAGTTTAATTAGATTTGAACTGAAAGAGTCAATATTTTTTCCATAAGTTCATGGTAAAAGAACTTCTGTCAATGATAATTATGTACAAACTAACAAGTATCATTCTAATTAGTTTAACTAATGAATAATAAATTATTATGTTACATTTACATTTTTATGTTTTATTTCATATACAATCAGCATTATCATATGTTTGACATTAGATTGATGGATTCGTATTTGTATAGTCTCTTTTATACGACAATGACGTACAAAATGAAATAAATGTATATTCTTATTAATTATTGTATGTTTAACTGCTATTAATAGTTATATAATCTGAAAGTTAGTTAATGAATCGAAAAAATATTAAATTACAAAATTTATCTCATGTATTTAAGACTAATTTTCTTTACATAATGAAGTATCGTATGTTTTATTTTACAGGTCATTGTATGTTAATACTCTTTTATCAGCAGTGTTGATGCATACGTATCTGTATAATTAATATTTATCGAAGTAAACAAACATTAGCTATTACTCTTTGACAAGCATATCTTTAGAAGTCATATGATTTTACTAATATTTACAAGAACATCTTTATCTATTACATCATGATTAATCTATAATATTTATCATATGATTACTTTGAATACAATAAATTTAAATCATTTTAAAATTTCAATTATATTTACAATATTATTTAATAGATTTTTCTTTTTAATGTCATTATATTTACATTGTTGAATATCAATGATATTTTTCAAGGAAGATGAATATGACTGCTTATGTTTTAATTATTTCTAAAAAAAAAATTCAAAAAAGATTACTAAGAAAAACTATTGTTTCAACATAATCCATCGCTATATATTTTTAATTTTAATATTTCTCGAAAATTTTAATTATAACAAAAATTAGAAAAAAAAATAGTCTGTAATATATTGAAATAACACTGTGACTCAAGAACAAATTGATCTCGTACAACAAACTATTCTCTATATAATCAGTAAAACTTTTTTAAAGTTGATAAACAGTATCAGTCAATGAAACAATTCTAGAATAAAGAACACGATATTCATCAACAATGATATATTTAACGCTGTATATGAGTCAATAATACGCTTACATATCTTTATAACCTTATGCTTAAAACTATCATACGTCATCGTTCTTCGTCTATAGAAATAGTTAATAGTAGTTTAAGAATCCATAAATCATCGTATTCGTCTATCGACAGTCATAAAGATATACAACTATAATATTGTACTAGATAAAATATCTCTATTACAAACGAGTTTCTCAGACTTAGAATATTAAGTAAGTGACTATTAAATCTATTAAAAATAATTGACTCATTTTTTTTATCAATTATTAAGAATTTCATTACAAAAAAAAAATTATTTTTCTAAAAACAAAATTAATCACAAGTTTTAATCATGTCAAGGTTAATTTTCTCATAAGACGAGAGAATCTAAACGAACTAATAGAATAAATATTTTATTGTATTGTATCATTTATCTTTAATAAATTTCTTGTAGACATTCATTTTATATTAGAAAATAAAAAAGTAATTAATTTTTTTTTAACAATCAATACAACCATCATCGTATCATATGACATGAAATTATAAAAAGACAACGACTCTCCGATTAAAGTTTTCCAGACCTAAACATTTAACTCTACCAAAATGTTAGAGTTTTGCACTGTTTTATAGAAATTCAATCATTATGATTTTAAATAAAAAAAACTCAACTTTTTATGATTGAAGAATTATTTTTATCTAATAGTAAAACGTTTTCTCTATTTTTACATCTTAATTGCATTTCATTTACCAATATAAAAACAACATTTAAACTTTTTTGTTTTTTTTTATAACTTTATCGAAGAACAAATTTGTTATTGACGTTCATCACTATACATGAGAAAAGAAAATAATAATAAAGTTTAATTTTTCTTTTTACACAAAAACAAAAAGAAAAAAAAATTACAAAAAAAAGAAAACAAACACTGGGCTACCTCTTCTGTTCTGTTGTTAATACAATTTTGTTTTTTAAAAATACAGGAAAAAAAAACAGAAACATTTTTGCTCTTAGTATTTATCTTAATATTGATCATCTTCGAACGAATAAAAGCTATCTGAACACATGATTTTAATCGAACGAATAAACATTTAGATTAATACTGATGACAACATAGAATAGAAAGGGATGACTAGGCAGTGTAGACCGGGTGGACGGATAATGCCAAGACTATACGTCTGTTTCAACATTAAGTGGCTCATTCGATGGATTTGAATTATGACTATTATTATTATTATTATTATTATTATTATTATTTGTTGATGATGTTTTCCGTTGTACTAATTGTTGTGTCGGTGAAGTTCTATTATTTTTATGATTAGTAGTTGCTGAACGAAATGTTAAATCATCAGCAGCACAATATGAATGAAGAAATGTATCAGATTCATCTAAATGATGATAAGTATCAGCTGATGAAACAGATTTTTTCTTTTGTGTACCATCACCAACACTTGTCGACATAGTTAATGCAAATTGTTCATTATTAATCATATCACCAACAGGTGGACTTGAATTATTTGAACTAGTTGAATATTTAATATCTTTTTGTTCTTCAGAATCAATATCTCGATGATAGAAATAATTAAAATTTGATACAATAACAGGTACAGGTAATGCTATTGTTAATACACCAGCAATAGCACACATTGAACCAACAATTTTACCAAATATACCAACAGGACGCATATCACCATAACCAACCTAAAATAAATATTTTTATTTTGTTTTTTTTTTTTCATATTTAAAATAGAAAAAAGAAAAAAAAAGAGATTTACCGTTGTCATTGTAATCATAGCCCACCAAAATGCATCAGGTATAGATTTAAAAAATGATTCTGGTTCACTTTGTTCAGCAAAATAGACCGCCGATGAAAATAATATAACACCAATAAATAGAAAAAACATTAGCAATGCTAGTTCTTGCATACTTGCACGTAATGTTTGTCCTAAGATTTGTAAACCTTTCGAATGTCGAGATAATTTAAATATACGAAAAACACGAACAAGACGTATAACTCGTAGTATAGCTAATGACATAGCTTGATTTGATTTAGTTTTTTCTTCAGCTAAAATTGTAAATAATGTTATAAAATATGGTACAATAGCA